ACCTACACTTGCGAGGCGTCGAACAAGCACGGCCACGCGAGGGCGCTCTATGTACTCGTGGTCTACGGTGAGGGCGGGCCGCGGCAGGCCTGGGGGCGGGGCTCAAGGTGGGGGCGGGGCCTCGTCGAGGTCTCCGGGAGTCCTGGGCGGGGCGGGGCCTTGGGAGTGGGCGAGCTGGATTGGACGGTTCCAGGCCCGCTGGGGGTGTTTGAGGGGCCTGGGCAAAGGGTGATTCCTTGGGGTCAACAGCCAACAGAATTCCTGGAGTTCTGCGGCCAGATTGACCATCTGGGTTCAGACTGGGCTCTGCAGCGTCCCATATGGGTAACTTTGCATGTTAGTTTCCTCACCGGTTAAGTGGAAATAAATAGCACCTACCTCATAGGATTGTGAAGATCATTCGAGCTAAATATACAGAGCGGTGGGAATGGCCCCTAGCACAAAATAAGTGTTACGTGTTTAGCCTTTGTGGCAGCAGGGCAGGAATTTTAGAAGTTGTTGGGCCCTCGCTCAGCATTTTATTTTATTTTTAAGATTTTATTTATTCATGAGAGACAGAGAGAGAGAGAGAGAGAGAGAGAGAAGCAGAGACATAGGCAGAGGGAGAGGCAGGCTCCCTGCGAGGAGCCCCAAGCGGGACTAGATCAGGACCTCCGGATCACGACCTGAGCCAAAGGAAAAGACGCTCAACCGCTGAGCCACTCAGGCGTGCCTCTAGCTCTGCATTTTAGATGCCCGGAGCGTTTTAGACAAGATGGGAAGGGACTTGGACCTGAGGTTCTGTGGGTCAAAGGAGTGGAGGGAAAAGGGATGTGCTGTATCTGTCCTTTGGGGATGGGGGTGGGTGGATGGGCAGAAGCGGGATAGTGTTGGCGAAATGACTCAGGGCCTGGGTCGGGCAGCGTACCAACCAACATGCACGCATTCTTCGTGGGAGTGGAGCATCAGGAAAGTCTGGAGCCAGGACAAGGGGCCAGAAGTGGCAGTGATTTGAGGGCCGTGACGCGGACAGGCGAGGCTGGTTGTGTGCATTGGTTTATGAGATCAGCAGCGGTGGGGCCGGGCTGGGACCGTCCTCTGATGACCTGGTCCTGCGCCCTGTCCCTCTGCAGACCCGGGTGCGGTGGTAGAGGCTCAGACGTCGGTGCCCTACGCCATCGTGGGCGGCATCCTGGCGCTACTGGTGTTTCTGATCATATGTGTGCTGGTGGGCATGGTCTGGTGCTCAGTACGGCAGAAGGGTGAGTGGGGGCGGGGTCTGAATCCAGCGAGGGGTGTGGTTTGGGGGTTCGGACGGGGGCGGGGCCCAGAGCCTGCGTTGGAAATAGGGCAGGCGTGCAGCGGAGGAGATTAGGGGTTAGGGGTAGGGAGACTTACATCCGGGATTCGAGACCTGCGGGGACCAGAGGCCAAGATTCCAAACGGGCGGACCTTGGCCGCGACTCTAAAAGGGATGAATCGTTGAAGGTGAATTAATTCACCCTAGGTTTGAATAAAACAATTTATCTTCCTAATTGTTGGATTTGTTGGGAGCAGAGCAAGGGGACACCACTGAGAGAACGGATAAGGGTGGTCTTTCAATGAACTCGTGGAGTCTTCCTAATTCTGCTTTTACCTCTTTCTCTGCCCCTGTTTCGCTCTGCCCTGGCCTTGATTCCCTCTCCCTGCATGTTCTGTTTCTCCATCTTACTTCCCCTGGTATGTCTTGTCTGTCTCCCTCTTCCCGTATATCTCTGTCCAACTCCTGCATCTACATACATGTTGCCTCTGCCTGGGGGTCTGTAACCCCTCAGGCTCCTATCTGACCCACGAGGCCAGTGGCCTGGATGAGCAGGGAGAAGCAAGAGAAGCCTTTCTTAATGGCAGCGACGGACACAAGAGGAAAGAAGAATTCTTCATCTGACCCCACCTCCACCCAGGCCTGGGCCTGGTCCTGGGCTGGGGTCTACCCCACTGCCAGCTGCAAAGACATTTACCAGAGTCTGGGATGGTGGGCTTCTCCCCCCACCACTAACACCTCAGACATTTGGGCAGGGATGGGGGTGTCGGATCCCGGGTCTCTGAAAGGGCCAGAAGCAAGGGCCCAGAGGTCTGGGCCCCCCAGGGGGCAGGGGCCGAAGGTCCAAACCCCCCAAGTCCAGGGAGGGCGGTAGGGATTGGGTTGGGGGAAGATAACTGGGGGAAGGCCAGGGCCCCTAGGCTGCAGAACCAGGTCTTGTGGGGAGGGTGTCAGATTCTGGGAAGGGTGGGGTGGGCAGGGAAGGGGAACACAGATTTCTTTGGGGGTCCTAGACCCCATGCCAGCCATTGTAGGAGTTCCACAGAGCTCTGGGCACCTCTTTGCAAAGCCATGTTTGCACGGTGGGGGTAAGGGTGGGGGGAGGGCATGGAAACAGGGATTCTGTGTCTTTGTGTCATAACTTTGATGGGGGTGGTGAGGGAGACAGCCCCAACTCTTCAATCCCCAGGTTCCTGGGCTCCCCATCCCTCCACCTCTCCCCCCCATATCTGTCCTATCCATATTTGTCTCCTTGTCCACCCACTCCTGGGGGGCCTTCCCCATCTCTCCTCCAGGCCCTCCAGGGAGAGGGAAAGGAGTTTGGGGGGGGTGCGTTGGTCTCTATGGTTTTTATATATAATATATTAAAAAAAATTAAAAATCTGTATGAAAATATCAGATTGCACCCCCCTCCCCTCTTTCCTGGCTTTTGCCCCCTTTTTCTTGTAAAAAAACAAAACAAAACAAAACAAACACATTTTGTACAGGGAGGGGAACGGGGAGGGGGTTTGGCAATCCCACTAACCACCATTAAACTGAGGAGAGAACAAGTGTCTGGGGTGGCTGTGTGTCTGTCCCTCTGCCCAGAGCTGCACTATGTTGGGAGGGGAACTGAACCAAAGGAGGGAGGAGGGAGAGGAGTAAGATGGCTGCTTGTGGACGGTACAAGCCAGGAGAGGGCCCTTCCCTTTTCAAGGGCACCTCCACCCTTCTAAGAAATATGCTTTTTTTTCCTGGCCACTTCAGGTGCCAAAAGTCACTGAGTCTTGTCTCTTCAGTACCCACTGAGCTACCCCGTCCCCAGCCAATGGCCCGAATCCTTCCCCTGGTTTACCCCTATCCCTGACATCAATCTCCAAAGGATCTTGCAATTAACTCACATTGCACCCTTATAACACCTGCCCCTGCTCTGCTCAAAACCTTTCCCTAGCTCCCCATCACCTCTAGGTCAAGTCAAACCACTTTAGCCTGGCATTTCCTGCTCCTCATTCATTCAACTAAATTTTAGGTGGGTGTTTCTAATTTTAGACTAAAACATATATTGACCTCTTTGTGCCAGATGCTGCTCCAAGATCTGGAGATGCCATAGTGAATAAAACAGGCAAATATTAGGTGTTCTAGATGCCTTAGCACTAACCTGAAACTTGATCCTGTTCTAGGCACTGAGGACCCAAAGAAAAAGGGTGACTCCATTCTTACCCTCAGGCAGAGCTTCCATGAGGAAAACGACAGCAGCAAGGAAGCAAAAAAACAAACAAACAAAAAAAAAAAAACACTTAATTTCAGATTGCCATAGGTGCCCTTAAGATAAAATGCAGAGTAAGGGGATATGGAGTATTATTAACTTATCATGGAAAAGTTTGAACACAGAAGTAAACAGAACAGGACAATGAAGTCCCATGCACCCTTCACCCCAGCCTCCACAACCATCAATTTGTGGCCAGTCCTGCTTTATCCACAACCACACTCACTTCTCTACAGCAAATCTGGAGGTACCATCTTTGAAAGATCAAGGAGAGCCTGGCTGATTGACACCTGTGCCAAGATATGAAAGATGAGCATAAGATCAGCTATTCAAAGATAAGCGGGAAAAGCATTTTCAGGCAAAGGGAACAGCAAGGGCAAAGGCCTGACGTGGTAAAGAGATTGCAGAGGTTGAGGGGAAGTGGAGCTAGACTAGAGTGGATAAAGAGAGATGAGTGAAATCAGAGACAAGTAGGGGGAGATCATGTGTATAGCTTCACAGCCATGATAGAGTTTGAGTTTTTTTCTAAGTGTAATGAGAGCTCATTGGAGAGTTCTGTGCTGGAATCTGAGTCAATTTCCAGGAAGCCCAGAACCCTGCAAAAGTTTTCTATATCATCATCATCAGCGTAGTCTGAGCTCCTCACCTATAGGAGCCCCTTCCCCTCTCTTTTTAAATATATATTCTTTTAATTTATTCATGAGACACAGAGAAAGAGGCACAGACATAGAGGGAGAAGCAGGCTCCATGCAGGGAGCCCGATGTGGGACTCAACCCGGGCACCCCGGGGAACCCTCTCAATTCTGTTTCAGACGTACTATCGCTTTCTCAATCAAACCATGCACTACTTTTTGCCTGGAGGCTTCTACCCTTGCTGTTCCCTCTGCCAGAAAAACTCCTATCCTGGTTGGCTTCTATTCATCCTTGGCTTAAAGATTACCACCTCTTGGAAGTCTTTCCAAGCTGGGGTACGCACCTCCTCTGGCTCCCACAGTTTCCTATACTCCACTCATCCCAAGTCTGAACACTCTAGGTTGTGGTTCTGACTTTGTATGGCTCCCCTTCCTTTGATTGGGGTGCCATGAGGGGCCAGGTTTGTCTCCATACTGCGGAAACCACAGTGCTCACCTGCACAGGGCTTGGCACAGGAGAGAGCAGTAAATATTTATGCTGGGGGTAGAGGAGGGCTTGTGAGGGTTTGGTAAGTGTCTTGGCCCTTGTGCCCCCTCTCCGGATGCAAACTGATGCCAACTAAAACAAGGCCACCCACTCCGCGCTAGTCCGCAACCCGTGAGCGCATGCGCTTTGTTCAGGAGCGCCCCCAGCCGCCCTCCCCCTATATGCTAATCACAGCGTTCTGGAGTACGGCCTCTCCGGGGAATATGCAAATTGCCCCTTCACCGCCGTAGGGCTCCTATTGTCCCTCACTAAGATTATGCAAATAAGCAAGCCTCAGGTCCAGGATCCAGGCCTAGCTGGCGGCCCCCAGCCCTCAGCTCATTCCGTTTTCTCGAAGGCGCTTAGCTGCTCGCTCACGCACGCGCAAGCCTTGCAGTTTCTGGTTCCGTCTAGCTGCGGACTGTACCAAGTAAACCCGGACAGCGAGGGGCAAAGCCCGGAACCCCCTGCGCGGGCCTCGTCGATGGCCCGACTCACGGAGCCCCTCTTCCCACCGAGCGATGGGAATGGTCCATCTCGCGGCGCAAGCGCCCTAGGCTCCTCTCGCCGCTTTGCACTCCCTCCTCCCCGACTTGCAGCGCAGGCGCAGAGCCCAGGCGTGCAGCCGCCGCCGCCGAGCCAGAGCGGGGGCCGCTAGCGCCGGTGAGTGTCCGGGATAGGGGTGCGCGGGGCATGCTGGGAAGCGGGCACTACGGCACCGCTGCATGATGGGAATGACGGCTCCCGTCACCGGGGCGAGCAGGCAGCCGTCTTGGCCCGCGACGGCCGGAGGGCGAGACCCGGGCTCCCTTTTCTCCCCCAGCGCGGCTCCGTGCCGTCCTGGGGCATCCTGGGGAAACGGGACGCTCCGCCCTAAGGCATTGTGGGAGCCGGTCTGCTGGTCGTTATGGGCCTAGTGCATTCTGGGAAGGATTATAGCTCCTTGTGGGGAACCAGCCCCTTTTGTCACACACCTTCCGCTGAGCATCGCGGAAGCCTGGCGTGCTTCGACGCCGGACGCCTCGGAAGGTGGTCGCTATAGGCCCGAGGCATCCTGGGAAGAGTTGCCGCAGGGCATTGTGGGGACTGGTCCTTACCGTCCTGTGTGAGGGTTTGCTCTGCCCCCTTGCCCTAGCCTTGTGGGAGCGCGTGCCTAGTGTGCTCACGCAGGGCATCTTGGGAGTTGGGTGCTGTAGGTTCAAGGTGTAGTAAGGCCTTGGCGGGGTTTTTTTCCTTGTGATGGTGAGGGAGCCTCATTTGTGTCCCTTTAAAATTGTGGAAGCCTGTATGGCCACCGTAGTTGTAGGAATGGGACCAGCGCACCAAAGAATGTCTCCACTTGACATCTGGAAAACTCTGGAAGGCCCTTGTGTAATGTGGGTTTGGGGGGAAGGTAGGCTGGACTGGTGAGCAATGCCTCCTGGAAATCTCTTGGGAAACCCTGATTGTAGCGTGTGGTTGCCAGGTAACATGTAGAACGTCCAGTTAAATGTGAATTTCAGATAAATAACCTTTTAGAAACGTGTATCCCAAATATTACATGGGACCTATGTATATTAAGTAATTTCCTGTTTATCTGAAATTCGAATTTAACCAGGCTGGTCTGTTTTTATTTACTGAATTTGGCAAATTTATCCTGGCATAAAGTAGAATTCCCAAATTAGATGGGACCCAACAAGTAGTATGATATCATGACAATTCTCCTCTGCAGATTACGAATCTCCCGTCCTTAAAGCCCAGATCCAGGTGTCCTTAGAAAACTCCCCTGCCATTGCTACCAGCCCTCCAATGCCCCAGGCTCCTCCAGGCTTCACTTTTTTTTTTTTCCTCTATCTTTAGCCCCTAGCATTAAACTTGACTTCCAGGCTTTGAAGAGATTGTGTATTTTCCACCATTGTATACCCAGTACCCAGCACAGGTCTTGGTATAAAAAGGTGTAGCTAAAAAAAAAAAAAAGTGTAGTGTAGCTGAGGCTGCCAGCCCTTTCACTAACTTACTCTTCCTGGCTTTTTACTGCCAGTGAGTGCAATGGGAGACAAAAGAACTGCTCTGTGTGTGTGTGTGTGTGTGTGTGTGTGTGCGCGCGTGCGTGCGTGTGCGTGCGCGCAGCGCATGGATGTATTGGTGAAGAAGAATAGGAGAGAAAGGAACCCCTTCTGGGAAGGGGTAGAGATGGTATTTGGGCTTTGAGGTGGGCTTTGGAGAGTGCATAGGAGTTCACTAGGCAGACTAGGGGAAAGAAGGACATTCTAGACAGCAATAGCAGGATTTGCTAAGACCCACAGATATGAAAAGTCCTGGTGTCCCCAGGGAGAGATGAGAAGTCTGGAATGGCTGGGGGTTTATAGGAATGGTTACAGGTGGAAGTATTAGCAGCCACTGTTACTGGAGTACCTGCCACATACCAGCAGTTTATACTGAATGAGCCTAACGAATCCTCAAAAAGTTTTTTCAGTCAAGGGATCATTTTATGAGAGGTAGGATAACATCAAATCCTAGTTGGTATGACTTGAACTACTTGCTAATCACCTCTGTGTCTCAATTTCCTCGTGCACAAAGGAGATGATAATCTCTCAACATAGTTATAAGAACTACTTGAGTTAAGCTCTGGAAGCCTTTTTGTACTGAGAAGGATACAGGCTGGAGAAGTTAAGTCCTTTGCTAGAAGCTACACAGCTAGACTGGCAGATTAGGGTTCAGACCTAGACTCTATCTTGCCAAGGTGTAGAACTAGGGCTGACACCAACCAGGGCTATCATACACTTGTTTAAATATTGAAGTACTTTTAGACGGATTGGTGTATCACCACTACCTCAAGTAATTCCCTACCTTCCATCTGCCACTTTGGACCCTCCCCCAGCTCTAGACTTTCTCACAAACCGGCACCTAAAGTGTTTTAATCCCTGGCATAGGACCATGTTCCCTTCGGTTCTGACTGGTACCCACACTGGTACCTGCTGCTAAATATTTGGAATATTACCTTCCCCGCTCCACTGAGAGCTTTGTTGCCCAGATGGGGGAATTAAGATCTATAGAAGCAGGGGCTGTCTTTTCCTTTCCCCCAGCACTGAGCACACAGCTGGGCCTGGGGAGGCAGATGCTAATGTAAAAATTTATTGAGTCACCACAGGCCTTTCCTTCCCCTGCTCAGCATCCCGCTCTACTTGCTGACATCCTGCACTGGAGAACTTGTGACCAAGGTTTGGCTGTGAAGAGCTGGCCGGGGAGGAACTCTGCCTAGCTGCTCCTCTGCTCCTGTCTCCTGTCCCCTCCCCTGGCCATGACAGAGACCCGTGAGCCAACTGAGACTGGGGGCTATGCCAGCTTGGAAGAAGATGATGAGGACCTCTCTCCAGGTGAGGCAGCCTTAGAGATGGTGGCATTACCTTGATTATCATCCTGGCTTGGAATTGGGGCTCCACTGAGCAATCTAGATGGGGAGTGGTCCCTTGTCTCCCTAGGTGTTCCATTCTGACTGGGACTGCGTCCTCTGCTAGTGGAATCCTTCTGGCTGAGACTTCTGGGGATTGTAGATTGGCTAGGATTGTTCTCCTTATCGGGGGATCGAGATGGGCTGTGGCCTCTCTCCTTGCTGTATGTTCTAGATCTGCTGTGGCCTTTCTCCTTGCTGGGGTTTTGGGATTGGCTGTGGTCTCTGTCCTTGCTGGGGGTTCGAGATTGGCTGTGGTCTCTGTCCTTGCTGGGGGTTCGAGATTGGCTGTGGTCTCTGTCCTTGCTGGGGGTTCGAGATCGCCTGTGATCTGTTTCTTTTCTGAAGGTTCTGGATTGGTTGTGAGCTCTCTTTTTTCTGAAGGGACTACGATCTCTCTCTTTTCTGTGGGTTCCAGATTGGCTGTGATAGCTTTCCTTGCTGGAAGTTCTAGATCGGCTGTAATCTCTTTCTTCGCTGGAGGTTTCAGAAAGGCTATAACTTCTCTCCTTGCTAGGGGTTCTAGATTGGCTGTGACCTCTCTCCTTGCTGGGGGTTCTAGATGGTCTATGACCCCTCTCCTTGCTGGGTGTTCTAGATCGTCTGTGATCTCTCTCCTTGCTGTGACTTCTTTCTTGTCTGGGGGTTCTAGATTGGTTATCATTTTTTCCCTGGCTGTGGGTTCTAGATCGGCTGTGTCTTCTCATCTGACTAGGAGTTCCTTTCCGGGTACGACTTCTTGCCCTACTATGATTCCTCTTCCAGCTGTGACTTCTCTCCCTGCTGTGGGTTCTCTTCTGACTGCGACTTCTTGCTCTTCTGGGCGTTCTAGACCGGCTGTGACTTCGGGTCCTGCTGGGGGTGCTACACCGGCTATGACTCTGGGTCCCGCTGGGTACACTATCCTGGTTGTAACTCTTGACCTTGCTAGATACTTCTATTGGGCTATTACTCCATTCCATGGTAGGGGTGACCATCTGACTATAACTTCTCGCCCTCCTCGATGATGACAGAGACTGGCTGTGACTTTTCTCCTCACAGGAAGTTCTACTGGGGCTGTAGCTCTTTGCCCTGCTTAGGGTTATAGCCAGCCCGGAACTCTTCCCCATGCCTGAGGCCCCTGGTGAGCTATCACTCTTCTCTCTGTTCGCATTTCTGGGCTGGCTCTTACTTCTTTCCCGGTTGTTGTTTCTAGGCCTGCTGTAACTCTTGCCCCTATTCTGCTTTTTCTGGGAGGTAGGAGTTCTTGCCCGGTTGGGCCCACCGGGTGTACCATGAGCTCTCACCCTGGTCATGGCGCTGGCCCTGCTGGGTGACCTCTTGGAGCTGCGGCTGCCCCTTCTGCCAGGAGTCCTGCCCCGGCTGTGTGTGCCCCTCCGCTGGTGGCGTCGTACGCCACTGGCCTTGCTGACTTTGCTGGCCCTGGTGTCAGTGCTGGCCTTGCTGGGTGTTCTTGCCCTGCTGTGGACTCGGGACTTGCTGCTGGGCTGCTTAGAAGGGGCTGTCCTTGTACTTGCCCACTTGGTAGACTTGGAACTACTTGGGCTTGTGACCGAGTTGGGGGCTGTGGGTGGCTTGGTAGGCACCGAGGAGCTGTTGGGCACTGCCAACTTGGTGGTCTTCAAGGAGGCAGGAGGCTTGGGAGGCCCTGTGGACATCGAGGGTCCAGTGGATGCTGGAGACATGCCGGGCTTTGAGGATCTCGTAGGTGGAGAAGGCATGGTAGGTGCAAAAGGGCCTGTGGTCCTTCAAATCACAGTGGACATGAAAGGCCTCGTAGCCGTGGACAACGACCTGACTGCCTTTCCCAAGCCAACCGCATGAAGTCATAGTGGGCATTGAAGGCCCTGGAGGGCAGGTGGTGTGAAGTCAGGTGGGAGGAGAAAGAGGGGTAGGGCCTCAGCCCAAGACTAGAGGGGTTTCCTCTGTGTTTGGCAGCCATTCAGCAAGTGTTTCTGAGGCCAACTGGGGACTCTGCATTGCTGAAGACATGGAGATGGGTCAGACTCAGGCCCTGCCTTCTAGGAATCTCCCATCTCCAGGGCACTTCCCAGGTGGTCAGGATGTGTTGGGGTTCAGGCTAGGGGGTGGGGCAGGGGCAGAGGTTCCCAGATAAGAGAGAGACACCACCTGAGGAGTCAGGGAGGACCTCATAGAGAAGGTGATGTGTGATCTGGGATTGAAAAGAGGAACAGGAGTTTACAAATGGAGAAGAAAATGAGAACTGCTGGAGCGGTTTAGCACCACCTTCGGCTCAGAGTGTGATCCTGGAGACCCGGGATCGAGTCCCACGTCAGGCTCCCTGCATGGAGGCCTGCTTCTCCCTCTGCCTGTGTCTCTGCCTCTCTCTCTCTGTGTCTCTCATGAGTAAATAAATAAAATCTTAAAAAGAAGAAGAAGAAGAAAAGGTCACCAGGTGAGAGAAGAGCAGAGGGAAGTCCTCAGGGTACCCATGTTCACCGAACCCACATGTCCTGGGCTGGGCAGCGTTGGGGACCCCATCTAGGACAGTTACAAGGGGAGACACTGGACCAGTGGGAACCAGGGTGGAGGGAGCCACCGCCAGAGAGGACAGAGCCTGTCCTAGGTCCTGAAGGATGAGCAGGAGGTCGCCAGGTGGACAGCGTGGGGGACAGCCTTCCAGGCAGAGGCACTAGCCCACGTCAAGGACTCAGGAAACTGTGTTAAATGGCAGAGAGACAGCAGGATGGAGGCAGGGGCAAGGAAAGAGAGAAAGCTGCGGGGAGGGACATTCTGCCAACATTTACCACCTATTCTGAGCTGGGTGATGCCAGGGACCCGGCAGTGAGTCAGAGCACGCCTGCCCACCCCCACCCCACCCTGTCTGGTGGGAGAGGCTGTGTACCGGCTCAGCCCTCAGGGCTGGGGTGAGGACAGCCAGAGGGCAAAAGACAGTGAGTGGCTGCTAGAATGAGATCTGGGACAGCCTCAGGGAGGAGGGAAGCTTCCTACTGGGTCCTAAAGAATGATGGGGAAAACCAGGGTGAGACATTCCCAGCAGAGGGAACAGTATGTGTGAAAGCCTCTGAAGGGGTTTGCTAAATTGAATGCCGGCACAAAGAAGGCGTTCTAGATGTTAGAGATGCAGCCATGAACCAGACAAAGTCCCTGCTCTGGGGGACAGACGATAAGCATCCAAGTCGATGTTGCATAGTAAGTTGAGGAGAGTTAGGGGCATAGGGAGTGCTGGGCAAGGATTGCCAATCAGATAGAGTGGTGAGGGCATCACTGAGAAGGTGACACTGGAGCAGAGACCTGGCCGTGGAAGGAGCAACACCTAGTCCATCTGTAAAAAAGGTAGCAAAGGCCCTGGGGCAGCACATGCTGGAGGGAAGGGTTGAGGTGGCAGGTGGAGCCCAGTGTGATTCACTCAGTTGTAACAGGACCCCTCTGGGCTGGAGGAAATTGAAGGAGGGGCCAGGATGGACGCAGGCTCGGGGATGCTTTTGACAGGCGCCTGATGTATTTCCCACACTGCTGCCACTGTAGTGGGGCCCCCCTCCTCCCTGACCAGCACTCTCATGTGCACCCCCTATTATGACTGCTGATGGCACCCTTTCCTGTACATTGACTACAAATTTTTTTCCTTTTTTTTAATCTGAACTTGTCCTAGACATGTCCTACATGCCCACAAAATCACGGTAATATATCTGGACTAACAAATATTTTAGGGGTGCCTGTATAGTGCTGTCACTTGAGCGTCCAACTTTTGGTTTCTGCTCGGGTCAGGATCTCAGGGGTCAGATCACACGCTTTCTCTCTCTCTCTCTCTAAAAGGAAATAAATCTTTACGAATGAACATTTTAATTCACTTAACTATGTATAAATGTGTATACCACACATATCAAAGTACATATATGTATGTGTTTTAATTTGCTTGAAGACGGGTTTGTCTCCCTAAAATGAACAGTGTAGTCCATCGCCCCTGTTTAGCTTTCCCTGTTAGAGCTGTGTGACTAGAGGCAAGTGAGTCACCTAACTGCTCTGTACCTCAGTTTCCCATTTGTCACTTAGCGTTAATAACAGTACTTCCTTCCAAGGGTTGTTATAAGGCTTAGATAGATTACTATATAAGAACAAGTTTCTTTCTTTTTTAATTTAATTTAATTTAATTTAATTTAATTTAATTTAATTTAATTTTAGAGCACATGTATGTAGGCATGGGGGTAGGGAGCAGAGGTAGAGGGGAAAGGAGAGAGAATCTCAAGCAGACTCCCCATTGAGCACAGCACCCCCCAACTTGGGGTTCCATCCTACGACCCAGAGATCATGACCTGAGCCAAAATCAGGAGCCCAACACTTAACCTCCTGAGCCAGCCAGGAGCCTCAAGAACAGAGTTCTTAAAATAGCAAGAAACACCGTTACTGTGTTCATTACTGCTACTTTGTCCTTATTAAACCTCTGAGAGGCAGTACTTGCAAGACATTCATTTGCTTAGACACTGAGTACCTACTGTGTGCCAGGCCGTGTGCTCCATGTAACTGGGGTTCACTGTGGGGAAGAGCAGGGTTGTGTCCAGGCTGCCCCCTTCATGCTGTGGCAAGTCTGAATAAGGCTTAGCGAAGGGCAGAGCTCTCTGTCCTCAGATGCCTCTGTCTTTTCCCCTTCATCCCCCTGCAGGCCCTGAGCATTCCTCTGACTCTGAGTACACTCTCTCAGAGCCAGACTCCGAAGAGGAAGAAGATGAGGAGGAGGAGGAGGAGGAGGCTACTGATGATCCTGAATATGACCCTGGCTACAAGGTGAAGCAGCGCCTGGGGGGGGGCCGGGGGGGCCCATCTCGCCGGGCCCCCCGTGCAGCCCAACCCCCAGGCCCCCCAGCCCAGCCCTGCCAGCTCTGTGGCCGCTCACCCCTTGGGGAGGCCCCACCAGGCACCCCACCTTGCCGGCTCTGCTGCCCTGCTACAGCCCCCCAGGAAGCTCCAGCCCCTGAAGGCAGGGTCCTTGGGGAGGAAGAGGAGGAGCCACCTCGGGTTGGGGAGGGCCGACCAGCTGGGAGGGAGGAGGAGGAGGAGGAGGAAGAGGAGGAGGGCACTTACCACTGTACAGAGTGTGAGGATTCCTTCGACAACCTCGGGGAGCTGCATGGGCACTTCATGCTGCATGCCCGGGGTGAGGTTTAGGCAGAGATCCCACCCAGGGAGCTTGGCAGAAGGGGTGGGGTGGGAGGAGGGGGTTGAGGAAACTGGGGTAGTCCTAATGGTCATGGGGGATGGGGGTACCGCCGATGTGTGTCGTCTTAGCAGTAGATGTGTGAAGGCCAGAATAAAAGCCAAATTCTGTGTGTGTCGGTCCAGCATGTTTGGTATATGTGTGTGCATGTGTGTATACACTTGAGTGTGTGAGGCATGGGCCTGGGGACTTATTTCCCCCATCCCCTGGGTCTCCTCCCTGGGGGAACTGTAAGAGCACGGTCACCAAGACTTTTAACATTTACTGAATGCTTCTGTGGTTTCCATATATTTACTCAGAGACCCCATGACGTGCGGGCTCAACTCAACACAACGAAGTTTCACACTGACGTAATAATGTTTCAGGTTGGTAGGCAACCCTTCTCCACACAGTGATTTGAGGACCCAGGCCATCCCTTAGCCTACTGTCATCCACATGGTCCTGGCTGAGTGGCCATGACCTGGGTCCTGCCATGGTGGAAGAGGACGGTGAGCGTGGAGAGGTACATGTGATCTCCAGCCCAAAAGTGGCACATACTGCTCCCATTTACTTCCCTTTGCTGAGAAATTAATCACATGGCCACAGCTCAGGGCAAGGGAATCTGGGAAAGGTGGTGTAGCCAAAGCCCAGAAAGCAGAGAATGATTTGTGGAGGATGGTAGGGGACAGCTAATGTTCTCTCTGCTGCCTGAGAACCTTTGCAGAGAGGACTTTAATTATAATCAGAGCTGTGCTTCCTGGGTGCCAAGTGCCGGTCCAAGAGCTTTATATATATTGACTCATAGAAGTTGTGTATCTAGGAACTTACAAAAATAGAACCTTAATTATAATTACAGCTGCCATTTCCCCAGCACTTACAGAGTGCTGCATTTTATTTGCATGAGATCATCAGATCCTTAGAATAACTCTGTGAGGTAGGGACTGTGATCCATTAATTCATTTAGGGAATATCTTCTGAGTCCCTGACGAATGCTGCACACTGTGAATATACCAGTGAATAAAGCCCTTGTCCTCATGGAGCTTACTCGGGGGTGGGTAGGCCCAGTGACAGGGACAGACGGTAAACAAGATGTAGTGTATGCTGGATGGTGATAGATGCTGTGGAGAAGAATAAAGCCAAGGAGGGAGAACAGTTCTGGAAGGGGGTTGCCATTTTAAACAGTGTAGCCCTCCCCCAGGGAGCAGGAACTGTGCGCTTGGGCGGGAAGAGCAGTCCAGGCAGGAGGCAGGAGCCCGCCCAGTGTCAGAGAGGGCAGAGCTGGAGGGATGAGGGCAGAAAGGAGCAGAGGGCCGGCTCATTATAGCTTTGTTGAAACTTGGCTCTTGCTCTGAGTTGGGAATTACTAATTCATAGAAGTTTGGCACCAGAGCTCCTTTGAAAATAGAAGCCTAATTATAATGATAGCTACCATTTACTGAGCATTTACTGGGTGCCAAGCCCTGTTCTAAGGCACTTTACGTGTGTTAACTCATAGAAGCTTGGCAACTAAGAATCTTCAAGAATAGAACCTGAATTACCGTAATGGCCATCATTAAATCAGCGCTCACAGTGGACCAGGTCCTGGGTTAAAGTGCTTTATATGGACAATCGCATCGGATCCTTATGAGGTAGGGGCTGTTATTTATTTATTCATTCATTCAACGGTGATGTGTTGAGCACCTGCGAGATACTGGCAGTATCCTGGGAGCTGGGAGTAGAGCAGAGAGCATGAAGAACAAGAATAAGAATCCCTGCCTTTGTGGAAACCCCATTTATAATGGGGAAGACCGATACTTTTTTCTTTTTTTAAGATTTTATTTATTCATGAGAGACACAGAGAGAAGCTAAGACATAGGAAGAGGGAGAAGCGGGTTCCTCGCAGGGAGCCCAGTGTGGGACTTGATCCCCAGACTGGGGATGAGGACTTGAGCTGAAGGCAGACGCTCAACCGCTGAGCCACCCAGGCATCCCAAGACAGATACTTTTTAAGTGAAATGTATAAAACATACAGACTTTAGAAGGTAGTAAGTGGCTGTGGAGGAAAACAGGGTGGGGAGGCTTGTACCTGTATGTGAGGCGGTTTCAAGTAGGGTGGTCATGGAGGCTTCAGTGAGAAGGTGACTTCAGAGCCAAGACCAGGAGTAGGGAGGAGTAGGGCACCTGCACTGTCTGCAGGAACCATGAGTGCAAAGGCCCTGAGGTGAAGCCCAACCTGAGGTATTTATGGAAGAACACTTAGACCATGAAGCTGTTGCTAAGGAAGGCAGGGGAAGACTGGTAGGAAGGTAAAGTCAAGGAGGGGCAGAGGACCAGGCCTGGTAGGCTGTTCTACCAATTTGGGTTGTGTCTCCATGTCTGAGTCATTGTCATAACCCTCAGAGGTATAGGGGCTATTATCACAACCATTTTACGGCTATTCAGCCAGGGCATAGGGAGGTTAACTTACCTGCTACAGGTGGGTCACACAGCTATTAAGAAGCAGAGCCTGGGTTTGACTCCAGACGGGTGGATGCAGGGCATACATTCTTTTTTTTTTTTTTAATATTTTATTTATTTATTCATGATAGTCACACACACACAGAGAGAGAGAGAGAGGCAGAGACACAGGCAGAGGGAGAAGCAGGCTCCATGCAGGGAGCCCGACGTGGGATTCGATCCGGGGTTTCCAGGATCGCGCCCTGGGCCAAAGGCAGGCGCCAAACCGCTGCGCCACCCAGGGATCCCCAGGGCATACATTCTTAACCATTAAGCCACATACCAGAAATGGCAGCCTGGCTGTCCATAGCCACCGTCTGACTGGCAGGAGTGTGGTGGTCTCCACACAGAGTTACTGTGTGGAGTGTGTTGGTCTCCTCAGAGTTACTGAGTTTTTTTTTAAATCATGTTGGTTATCAACATTTAAAAACAGGCAGCTTTCACATCAAAATGGAGGTTCAGGGTTTCTCTTGAAGACTGTGAGGTCTAGAGTGCTGAACCCACAATCTCATGGGGCAGTAGCTTGCTAGAGCTGGCTAAGGGTTACCTCCCGCTAATGGGGCATTCCTCCCATGTGTTCATTCCTCTCTATCTGGCATCTGGACCCTCATATCCTGTTTGCTTCACTGATTATGGTACCTGCGTGGCCATAAAGAACACTTTCATTTTGATGCCTGTTACAGAATCTTATACCAAAGCATCTGTCAAAACCCACACTTTTCATCCTAGAAGCTCAGAATCTGAGAACCTGACATTTATCCACTCTTCAAGTTGAGACTTTCATAACCACTATAGCTTAACATCAATGAATCTCAGAATCGTCAAAGCAGACATTCACAGCTCATTAAAATACCACGGATGGATTTTATTTCCTGAAGCAGCACACTTAAGCACTTTTCTGCCCTAAGACAGGGCTTTCTAAGCATGGATGTAGAGAGTCATCCAGTTATCAGCAAAAATTCCTAAGGATATGTCAGACTGGGAATCAAGAGACCTAATCTGCTGCCTGGGGTCATTCAGTTGCTCAGGGCCCAGACAGGATATGAACACCAAGCTAGGAATTCCAAGAGAGGATTTAACACAGGGCAGTTATTATGCAGCTGTTAGAAGTCTGAGAGCACAAATGTGGAAAAACGAGGCAACTGAGCAATTTGTGCCTACAGAAAGCTCCCACCTCTAGGACTAGGGTACAGGTCCAGCAGGATTTTGGAGGACAGGCCATGTGCAGAGGTTTAAACCTCAAGAGGTTTAGCACAGTACTGGTGCTGATATGGAAAGGCACTGGAGTCTGAGCTGCTGCTGGAGGGCTTCCAGCAGGATCCCAAAGCAAGGTGACTGCCTTCCCCTTCTTCCTATCTTCTTTACTCGTAGGCAGAACTTGAGGAAGCCAGTTCTGGAGGGAGTCTGGGAAACCTAATTGCAGAAAGCCCAGCATCACAGCATCACAGGGAGGGCTGCAGGTCGAGAGCCACTAGGTAGAGAGTAGGCATAGTCAAGCATTTTTTGAGCCTCTGAGATCAACACTATCTTAGGTACTGAGGAAGTGAGGAAGACAGAACACTTGCCCCCAAAAGTTTGGATTCCAGACCAAGGACAGAGATAATGAAAAAGCGGGATAATCTCAGGTATTGAAGAGCGCTAGGAAGAAACTAAGTCAGGGTAAGGGTTGGTGGTGCTACTTTAGCCAAGCAGGTCAAGGAGAACCTCTCTGAGGATGTAGCATGTATTGATTCCTAAGTAGCAAGTTCTGGGTAAGAGCACTTGAGGCAGAGGGAAGAGCAAGTGCAAAGGCCCTGAGGTAGAAGCCAGCCTGGCATGTGTGACTAGAGTATAGTGAAGATAAAGTAGGGAGGTAGCTGAGATTGCTTAGTGGGGTGGGGCTCCATCATTGTTGGGTTTTCTGGGCCTGGGTAAGGTCTTTGGATGTTTTTTACAGGATGCCATTGGAGGATTTTAAATGAGGAGTTGTGTGTGCTGACTTAACGTACACAGGATGTGGTCTGTAGTGGACTGGAGAGGGCAGCTGTGGTCGCAGGTCTGGGGTGGGGGTGGGGGGAACACTTAGGAGATCCCTGTGGGGAGGGCCTGTCAGACTCCAGAATTTAGAAGTTGAGTACACAGTTGACCGATCTGATGGTAATGGTGTAGGTGGGGGTTGTAGGAGTCACACTGACCCTTTTTATGTTTTGGGGACTTTTATTCATCATCCAAGTGACTTTCTTCTCCTGGGGAGAAGTCTGGGGTTTGAGCTGAACATAAAGATTTGGAAGTCACCAGGATGCTATTTAAAGTCTTGGGAATCTATGACATCTGGAGAGTGGAGAGAAGAGGAAGAACACAGGCAGGCTGCTGTCTGTCTCAGGGGAGCATGTGTGATTAGTGCCTCAGGTTTGGGTTTGAGGGAACCGCTGTGGGGGTGGTGTGAAACATCTGGGTTGGAGACTTCTGAGCTATCACCAGGTGCAGAGGAAATGTTTGGCTTTGGTGAAGTCGGTATTTTAGGATAGAGTAATGGCCGACTGACTCCAAACCACCAATTTCCCCAAAAGTCACCCCAGCAGAGAGCTCCAGGCTGGCTGGCCCTGTCCAGATCCTACAGGACACACACACAGCCCCCTACTAGAGGTAGTATTTCCCAGGGTGGGAATCCCGGCTTCCAGGCTCAGAGTAGGTTGTATGTCCATCAGGCAAGAGGTCAGCAAACTTAACTATAGAGGACCAGATGGCCCTTTACTATTTTAGGCTTTATGGGCCATACGGTCTCCATTGCAACTAACTACTCAAATCTGCCGTTCTGTGCTACCGACAGGCTGTAAGTTATGCTGCATGTGACAGAGACCCAAAATAATGGTGATTTAAACAAGATCGAGGTTTATTTCTCTCTTATATGATCGTATGGAAGTGGATATTCTAGGGCTGGTATGACGACTCTGCTCCATGTAGTCAACAAGGGACCCAGGCTTCTGCTGTCTTGCGGCTCTGGCATCCCATATATTGCTCTCATGGTCCAAGATGGCTGGATACCATGTCCACACTCCAGGCAGGAAGGTGGAGGAAAAGGCATGTCCCTTTCTGAAGCTTGAGAACTCTACCCAGGATTTAGCCAGAACTCCGTCACCGTGCCACACCTAGCTGCAAGGAACCCTGGGAAATGGAGTGCTAGTAGCTACCATGTACCTAGGTAAAAATTGGGAAACAGCTATCCTCTACCAGATTTACATCAGCTATGGGCTTTAAAAACATCCCTCAGTTCAGATAGTGTCTGTAATTATTGTATGCAGGGCATCAACTGGGGTCTCTAAGGGGGGCAGGGCAGGTAATCCAGAGTCCTGACCACACTCAGTACTGGCCTGGTGGGACCCAGCCCAGGGTTAGGCTTTTCAAGAGCTGAAAATAGGATCTTAATGGGAACTCTCCCAGTGTTGGCCAAATACAACAGGAAACAGAAGGTATCCCTGTTTGATTTCAAACCAGATTCCCCACAGGGCCAGGCCAGCTCTGACCTGAGCTCCTCCCTCCCAGTGCCCTTCTTTTTATTTATTTTGCGAAAGCGTGCGTGTGCACATGCGTGTGGGGGATGAAAGGGGGCGGGGGTGTGGGTATTGAGAATCAAGCAGGCTCCCTGCTCAGCAGAGCCCGAAACCAGGCTGGATCTCATGACCCTGAGGTCATGACCTGAACCAGAATCAAGAGTCCCACATTTAACCAACTGAGCCCCCTCACTATGCCCTTCTTATATTTTCTGGCAATTTCTGCTCAAAAGCCAGAGTTTCTGGTTTAGACATTTTAATACAGATCTTTTCTGTTTTTAGGTACTATTTGCTATTTTATTCATGTCATCTCACCTAAACATCTAGAAAATATTCCATGACCAGAATGGTACATGAAATTAAGCGGGCAATAGATTACTGGGGAAGGAGCCCAAATCTAAATACCAAGGCCCCTCAGTGAGTGGGAAAGACTGTGACAGGGAATGGGAGAAGACAGAGACTTGAACTGCAACCCCCACATGACTCAGAGTACAGCCCCCAACTTTGCTACCCCACCCCAAAGGCCCAAGTTTCCCCACATTTGAGACCCTTCCAGGGACATTTTTTTAAAAATTTTTTTATTTTATTTATTTTTTGATAGTCACAGAGAGAGAGAGAGAGGCAGAGACACAGGCAGAGGGAGAAGCAGGCTCCATGCACTGGGAGCCCGATGTGGGATTTGATCCCGGGTCTCCAGGATCGCGCCCTGGGCCAAAGGCAGGCGCCAAACCGCTGCACCACCCAGGGATCCCCCTTCCAGGGACATTACAGCCCCGCCACACCTCACCTTCCCTGTCCCCCTTCAGGCACAAAACCAGGGGGAATTTGCTCCTACAGCTCATGGCATCCATCTGGGAAGAATTAAAGGTGATTACACAATCTGCAGCTAGTTGTGATTTCAAACCATTTAATTGGAAACAAGGGAGATACAAATAACAATTTTCCCTTTTGCTTGTTTATTTCTCTTAAAAGATTTCACTAATTTCACTATATCCCTTAAGGCCTTTGTGTCCTCCAAAGACTGAATCTGGAGATGAGCATCTTCTGGGTCCTATTTATCAGGAATCCTTTGCCTGTCCAGGGAGGGAAGCACATCCTTCCAAGGCGCCCATCCCTTATCAGAGGTGGGTTCTAGCAGCCACAGAACCCATCCCCCCCCCCACACACACACCCGTTGCCCTAGGGAGGGTGTAACCCTCACTCAGAGTTCCCCCCGGGCATGCCGGATGTAGTGTTGATGCAGCCCAGCTTCCTGGGCAAAGTCCTGACCACACTCAGTGCAGGCAAAGGGGCCTGGAGGGGCGCGGGTCTCATGGGCCTGGCGGTGCCGCCTCAGAGAAGCAGCCTGCCCAAAGGTCTTGCCACAGTCAGGGCAGGGGAATGTAGGGTGGGCAGCAGTGGGTGCAACTGGCGTGGAGGGCCTGGCCGCTGGACCATGGCTGCGCTGATGGGCGAGCAGGGCCTTTGAGGAGGGGAAGGAGCGGGCGCAGGTGAAGCAGATGAAGAGGGCCCCCTGCAGCTTCTGGGCCACGAAATCGGCTGGGTGCTCCCGCTTCATGTGACGCTCCTGGAACTTGGAATCGGCGAAGGTGATGAGGCAGCGGGTGCACTGCGGGGCCCCCAGGTGGCCTGAGGGACGTGGGGAGAGGTCGGGGGGAAGCCAGCAAGAGTCACCAGGACCTCTCCCAAGCCCCAGGGTCTTGCCAACAATTTACATTCAGTGCTTACTACATGCCAGCTGTACGCCAGGGCTGGACAGTGGCACAGGCAAACTATTACAGGACGTTTTATGGGTGAGCAGACTGAGACTCTGAAAGGTTAGGAAACTTGCTAGGAAATGAAATGGTGGAGTCAGGAATGGAACCCAGGGAGTGTGCTCTCCCAGCAGAGCCATGTGATTAGAGCACAGCCTCTGGAGCCAGACTACTTGGCACTGAATCCCAGATCTGCCACTTCCTAGGCAAGTACAACGGTTTCCTCATCTGGAAAATGGGGTCATAACCATATCAGGATGGTTGACTGATCAGTACAGTTACAACTACCTCATGGGGTTGTTGGAGGGAGTAAATGGATTATTAACATAAAGTGCTTAGAACAGTGCTACACAGTGGTTTGTGGTTACTCGTATTGAGAAAGAGAAAAGCAGCTTGACAGTTAGGGGCTGGCCTGGCACTCACAGCTAGGCCTTGGTGTTCTCCTGTTGAACAGAAGCAGTTTCACAGAACCTTGTCAGACAAAGCCATGCTGTGACTGAGATGAATCACATCAAGACCATGCCAGAATAACGTCTGATCACAGATAAAACATGAACATTGTCCAAGCCACAAAAATGACCAAACATCCCCCTATCCTGGCTCACAGGAGGGGCTGCTGCTGCTTTATCAATCACAGCTTGAGCCTTTGTACCCCCCCCCCCGATAAGATTTATTTACACAGCCAACCTATCTTTTGCCCCTACTTACTGGCAGCATTTAATTGGAACAAAACCCTTCCTTGAACCTTCTCCCAAATCACTTAAGATAAGTCCTTTCTAACACTGAGATGCCCCACAGTGCTTCAGGGTGTGTGTGCTTCCTCAGTGCAATGAGCGATAAACCCAACTTGTTCAAATGCAGGTGTGTTCCTGGTGGTCTTTGGCGGGAGGACCTTGACACTGGAGCTCATTGTCCCAGATAACCTCTTTGCCTCAGCTCCCTTATCTGAAAGCAATGCCAATTCCATTGGGTCTGTCAGGAGGACTGAGATAATGAGGGTTAAACTCTTAGAAAGTGCCCAACACCTAGTAAGCATTCGGTAGAAGCTGTTGCTATCCTATGTCAAACTGGCTACCTGTAACATCAGACTCCCCGATATCAAACCTTCCCCTTCTCTGCCACTAATCCCCTTTACAGCCGTGTCACCTGAGTAGTGGCAACCTCTTGTGACAGGGAAACCCGAGCCCAAGTCACACACCCAAAGTCTGGGGCAGAGTTGGCACTGGAACCTCGGGTCTCCTCTCTCAGTGTCCAACATTTTCTCCCACCCAAGCCTCTCTGGGTGCCACTCTGTCCGTCCAAACTGCAGCCAATTCGAACTTATGTGGCCAGAGCGGGATGGGTACATCTGAGCACAATAAACGTAAGGGTAGAGAATGGCAGTTCCTGGTAGGGCAGCTTATAAACCATTTATTACAGCCCCTTTGCAGCAGGCGAGTGCTTGTAACATGCCTGGGACACTGAAATCCTTTTAGCTAGCTAGCATCGGCTCCAGCACCCCACCCGTCTGGCCAGCAGCACTCACAGATGTCGCCTCCTGGGCTGCGGGGACTCCTCTCCTGGGGCGAATCCTGCTGCTCCATGGCCCCTTCGAGATGCGGGTCCTCCATAAGGCCTGGGATCCCTCTGGTCAAGAGAGCAGCACGCATGACAGGACAGTAAATCAAGTGAAGTCGCTCATGTTTCCGTTGCATGAAGGGGCCCGCAATCCTATGACCTCTGGCAGGCTCCCCTTGCCTCCCGCCCACCCCCACCCCACCCCACCCCACCCCACCCCGTAAGAGGCCATCCTCTTGAACTCTAACCTGGTGGAGCTCTCCTCAGGGAAGCTTCGACCCTCTCAAAAGATCCGACTCCCCAGGCCTGTGACACCCCGTGGAGCCTTCTGACCTGTGTGAGACCTCTGGCCTCCCACATCTAACTCCCCGAACTCCGGGCATGGAACCCTTGGTCTCTTGATCTCTTGACACCAGCTCTCCCACGTGTCTTGAGGCGGGTAGTGGCGCCCAGGTCTAACCCGCCTCCTCCCGGGAGGCATCTTTCTCTGACATCCTGTGACCCTCGTTCCACCCCGGGCCCCCGCCTCCCACGCGCGCCTTCAGCCTCGGTTCCCTCCTCCCGAGGCCCGGTAGCCCCAGGCCTCGGCTTTTCTCCGGACAGCAGCGGGCTGCTCTCGTCGCGCCCGTCAGCCGCTCGTCACAGCGCCGCCACCCGGAGGGCAGCGGGGTAGGGCCCCCCGAGGCTCAAGGTCCCAGTGGCTCCCACGCCCTTTCGCCGGAGGAGCCTCTCGAAGCCGAAACCCCGGCTCCTATCCGGCAGTGATGCAGTCGCGCCAGCCGGGTCCTCAGAGAAACGCGAGGGGTCCTTCCCCGCAGTGGGATGCGTTATGATGACGTTGCGGGCCGCGCGGGCCGCACCGACCTCCGCTTCTTGCGCCAATGTGGCCCGGCGCGGCTGGCGCGCAGGCGCTCTGACTCCCTCATTGTTCGGGGCCCTGCGGCAGCAGGAGCTGGGGAGCCGGCGCGCTTCGATTGCTCTGCGCAGCCGCCGTCACGGGCTGTAGCCCCGAGGTCACGCTTCCAAGACACACCCCCTCCTTAAAAGAGTGACGTCAGGTTAGAGCCCTCGGAACGGGTCTGGACGGCCCCCCCCCCTCCGCCCCAAATCGGGGCGCCCTAACCTCTTCGGCCTCCGTCCGCCCGACCCCAAGGGCGGGGCTTCCCAGCGGCTGATCGGCCGCCGCCGATCGCGCTCTCCGGTGACTGCCAGCGGTTTGCTCGGTTAGTGGTTTGGAAGGGAGGAGTGCGGGAATAAAAACCTCCATGTCCCTGAGGGAGGAGGGGCCCGGACGTCCGGATGTCTAAGATTTTGAAACCGAGAGAGTGGGGCGCCTGGGCGGCTCAGCCGGTTGAGCGTCTGTCTTCTCTCAGGTGATGATCCCCGGGGTCCTGGGGTGGAGCCCCGCATCAGGCTCCCGCTCTGCGGGGAGTGGGCTTCTCCCTCTGCCCCTCCCCCCCGGCTGTGCTCTCTCTAAAATCAATAAAATATATATTTTTAAATGTATCCAGAAAGAGGGCGGACAAGCCACCCGGATCCTTGGGGAATAGACAGGGCGTGGGTGCCGGATTTTTCCCTGGGAGTGACACGCAAGAATGGAGGGGGGACAGAGTGAGCAGACCAGGAAAGAAAAAGGTCGAGTGCTCCCTGACCCGGGTCTGCACCACCCCCTTGCCTTCCAGGTATGCCACCGCCACGGGGTGACGTGACCGCCTTGTTCCTGGGGCCTCCGGGCTGTGGCAAGTCCGCGCTGATCGCAGCGCTGTGCGACGGGAATGTGGAGACCATAGAGATTCCCGAGGGCCGGCCGGACTCCGGGATCCCCAGCCTGCGAGCAGCGGGCCCTGGCCTCTTCCTGGGCGAGCTGAGCTGTCCGCCCGCAGCGCCAGGGCCCTGGGCGGCGGAGGCCAACGTGCTGGTATTGGTGCTGCCCGGCCCCGAGGGGAACGGGGAGCCCCTGGCCCCAGCGCTGGGAGAGGCAGCGCGGGCCGCCCTGGCCCGAGGGACCCCGCTGCTGGCTGTGCGGAATCTCCGCCCTGGGGAGTCACAAGATGAAGCCCAGGCCCGGGATCAGACCGCGGCCCTGCTGAACGGCGCGGGGTTGGGGGCTGCTGCTCTCTTCGTGCTGCCCGCGGACTGCGGCCGCCGAGACGGCTGCAAGGAATTGGAGCGCCTGCGGGTGGCGCTGCGGAGCCAGGCAGAGGTGCTGCAGAGGTGAGCGAGGACTTGAGGCCTGGTGCTTTACACTTCACACCCAGAAAATGTTCTTTGAGATCGCGAGATCCCACCCCCAGTGAGTTTGGGGCAGGCCTTAACAGGGTAGCTGCTGGGGGCCCTGCTCTCTGGCCCTGGTCCTGCCCCTCAGCGCAGGTTTTGAGGTCAGCGAGGCTCCACTCCAAGCCAGCACTCAATGCTGGAGCCTTTGTCTTCTAGGCTCCGCCCCACCAAAAGGTCGCTCGAGGTTCTGACCCGTCCTCCCAGTTTCTGCCCCCTGCAAGCATTCTCAGGTCCCAAGCCCTGCTTCACTGAGCATTTTAGGAGAGGCGAGGACCTAATGCCCAAATGCTTCCCCCATGACAAAAGTTTGGAGGAAGGCTTACTCAGCACACAAGCCTGTGATCCCCGCCAAGACGTTACCCAGGGATTCACACTTTGGAACCCTCACCTTCAGCTTTGCTCCACCTTCAGCTTTGTTCTCAAGCTACACTAGTCCTTGTAAAGCCACACCCTCAGTGAGCCTTGCCCTTTCTGGATTTCCTCCCCCTCTGCCTTTCTTTAATCCCAATCCCATCTCATTTCTATGCCCACTCGCTGGCTACCTCCTAAATTTTTCCCCCCAGTCCCTGGCCACCTGTTTTATATAAGTCCAAATGAAGCCACATCTTTTTTTCCTTAGCCACTTCTTGGTAAGCACTAGTAAGCGAGGCTTTTCCCCTCACAGGCCCTTCTTCGCCTCAGTAAGCCTAGGCTCTGCAAAGAGCACCCTGGGTGACCTTGCTCCGGTCCAAAGGTGCTTGCCTTTCCTTTAGCCCACAATACAGTTGCAAGTCAGTCTTTGCCGGAGCCCCATCTTCCAGGAGTTTTGCTTGGCCTTTCTTAACCCTGCAAGGCCCTTGGGAAAGTGCCCCCTCCCCCAAAGACTGAATCTCAGAGAAGATTTAGCAGGTTCCCCTTTTTAGGTTTTGTCAGAAACCTGACCTCAACCAACCTGCCCTCCTCCCCCCATTTTATTTTTTTGTTTTTTAAAAAGATTTTATTTATTTATTCATGAGAGAGACACACACAGAGAGAGGCAGAGACACAAGCCGAGGGAGAAGCAGGCTCCATGCAGGGAGCCGGATGTTGGACTCCATCCTGGGATCACACCCTGAGCTGAAGGCAGACGCTCAACCACTGAGCCACCCAGGCGTCCCCCTCCCCCTGCTTTAAGCCCTAATTCCTATATATTGTATGATGAGCCTGGCTCCTCTGTCTTCTTTCAGAGGTTATTCAAAAACTCCACCCATATCATCCTAGTCTGGTCCCATCCCCATAACGCAGCAGCCCTCTTCTGCTCTTGACCCTCCCTTTCCCTGTCCCCTTAGGCTCCTGCCCCCGGCACAGGATGGCTTCGAGGTACTGGGTGCGGCAGAGCTGGAGGCCGTGCGGGAGGCTTTTGAGACCGGTGGCCTGGAGGCGGCGCTGTCGTGGGTTCGCGCTGGCCTGGAGCGACTGGGCAGCGCACGGCTGGACCTGGCTGTGGCCGGCAACGCCGATGTGAGCCTTGTGCTGAACGTGCTGCTTGGGCTGGATCCCGGTGACCCAGATGCCGAGCCCGTTTTCATGCCCGCGGGGCCCACGCCCTACCCGGCCCCAGAGCGTCCCAATGTGGTGCTCTGGCACGTGCCTCTGGGCTCCACGGGCACTGCTGCTGCTGCCACCCCCCATCCGACCCACTACGACGCCCTCATCCTAGTCACCCCGGGGGCCCCCACTGAGAAGGACTGGGCTCAGGTTCGGCCCTTCGTGCTGCCAGATGCGCCGCTGGTCGGCGTGCGAACAGACGGTGAGGGCGAAGATCCAGAGTACCTGGAGGAAGAGGACAAGGCAGAGAAAGAGAAGCCCAGCTGCGAGAGCTTAGAGAACACAGGCGGAGAGGGGGTGAAGAATGCATGCAGTGAGGGAAGGGAGAAACGTGGCCCGGGATTGCAGAAAGGTAGCGAGGAAGATTCGGAGAAAGCAGGCAGCGGGGAAGGCTCGGAGAAAGCGGGCAGCGAGAGTGTGCCGCCTCTTGGCGGCGGCGGGAAGAAATCAGGCAGTGGGGACGCGGAGCGTGCGGCCACGCTGAGCCCCGAGGATGAGACGTGGGAGGTGCTGGAGGAGGCGCCGCCACCCGTGTTCCCGCTGCGGCCTGGCGGCCTCCCGGGGCTCTGCGAGTGGCTGCGGCGCGCGCTGCCCCCGGCCCAGGCGGGGGCGCTGCTGCTGGCGCTGCCCCCCGCGTCTCCCCACGGGGCGCGCATGAAGGCTGCGGCGCTGCGGGCCGGGGCGTGGCGGCCGGCTCTGCTGGCCAGCCTGGCGGCGGCGGCGGCGCCGGTACCCGGCCTAGGCTGGGCGTGCGACGTGGCGCTTCTGCGGGGTCAGCTGGCCGAGTGGCGGCGGGCGCTGGGGCTCGAACCCGCCGCGCTGGCTCGACGCGAGCGCGCGCTCGGCCTGACCCCCGGGGAGCTGGCGGAGCGGACGCACTTCCCGGGCCCGGTGACCCGCGCGGAGGTGGAGGCCAGGCTGGGCGCGTGGGCGGGCGAGGGCACTGCCGGGGGCGCGGCGCTGGGGGCCCTTTCCTTCCTATGGCCCGCGGGCGGCGCGGCGGCCACCGGCGGCCTGGGTTACCGCGCGGCGCACGGCGTCCTGCTGCAGGCCCTCAACGAGATGCAGGCCGATGCCGAGGCGGTGCTGGCACCCCATGTGCCCGCGCAGTGAGGGGTGGGACGCGGGTCGGGGGGCCTGCCGGGGTGCCCAGTGTCCCTCCTGCTTGGCTCCCCCAGGGGCTGAGGACTCCACGCCCGGGTTAGAGGGAGAGGGATTGGGGGGGTCCAGATGCGTGGGATGTCTGGGCCTCTGCGGTAGCGGAGCTGGGGGCCACCACTCAGAATGCTGGGTGCTTGAAGGGAATGAGGGCTTTGAATTCATTGGGGTGGACTTTAAGATTCCAGTTGCTGGGTGGTGGGAGGTCTCCATCTACAGGAGGGAACAGGGGACTTTGCAAAAGAGCTGCAGAACCTTTGGTCGGGAATAGAGAGATGTCTGTTATTTGCTGCTGGGGGGCGAGGGGGAGGGCCTGGTGGGCCAGAATCTTTTCCCAGCTGTTGTGGGGAGGATGGTCCCAGAAAAATGAGGGAAGGAGGCAAGAGGTCTGAGCATGGTGGGCCCTGGAGGTAGCCAGAGACCAGGAATGAGGCCTTCTGGGTGTGAAGGACAGGAACCCATACCTCAGAGGTATCTCCCACAAATTCCTTATGGATTTGGACCCTGGCAATCACCTCTCTCAGTGCGAGTTTGGAAAGGGACATGACTACCCCCCTTTTATAAGTGCTGAGTGATTCAAGGGATCTTTGGTGTGTCTGTTCCTTTGTCCGTCTTTCCCTTAGTGGTTTCTATCTCTTTTTGGTCTTGATTTCTTCTGTCATTAAGCCGAACCCTTTCTGGCCTTGATATTTTATACTCCTGCCTTTTTTGGAAAAGCAGCTATAATGCTGCACTGATGCAGATATTTCTGTGTTGGCTACCTCAGGTGTCCCCAAGAGGCTCTGCCTTCTGGTGTACACACAGGGCTGCGGAGAGCAAGAGACCCACAGAACAGCGAGGTAGTGTTCCAGACGGTGGGAGTGTGCCATAAGTGAAGCAAAGGCAGAAACCACAGTGCCTGGAATGTTCTAGGCTGCCAACTATAGGTAGAAAAGATGCCACAGGTCACAGAGTTCTTGTATCAAAAAGCAGGAAAAGGGGACCCAAAAGGCCATTAAGTAGCATCTCTTTTATGAGAGATGGGGAGGGCAAAGCCCAGGGAGGGCAGGCTCTAGGCCCAACAACACACAGCAGGGTCCTGTGTGGTCTGGCCCCAACCTCATCTCCTAACCAGCCTGATCTTCCGATGCCTGGGTGGGCCACCTTGGATCCTACCCCAGGATCTTTGCATTTGTTGTTCTTTCTGCCTAGAATGCTCTACCCCCGGATCTTCCCATAACTGGTTCCTTCTTATCAAGCAGATCTCCACTCAAACGTCCCCTCAGAGAAGCCATCCCTGTCCAGTGTAACTGAATCAGCTCACACACCCCCATTACTCTTCTCAGCCAGTTGATAATTCCCTTGCAGCAATTTTTACTGTAAGCAATTACCTTATTTATTTATTTACCTATTTAATAGCTATTGTCCTTTTACCTGTCTTGTTCTCTGCTCTACCCCCAACACCTAGAAGAGTGCTTGACCCACAGTAGGTGCTTAGTAATTATTTCTTTTCATTCATTAGTCAGTGGCAGACTGGAATTTACATTGTCAGCCTCTTGCCACAAGACAGGGAAAATGAGCAAGGTGGGGAGAAACGAGTATCTGATGGGAGAGAAAGCTCCTGTCTGAGGTCAGGGGATCTGGGAAGCAAGCACGGCTTTGCCACTGTCACTCTGGGTGACTTGGACCAGTGCCTTATGTTCCATCTGAGAAATGAAAGGGCCGGATGAGAACCGTAAATACTTGCAAGATCCAATTTTCTTTGACAGCGGGAGACAAGGGTGACCGATCTGAGAGACAGGTCCTTTGCCAGATGGTATTCCCATGTCCATCTTGAACCCCTACCATTGGCCAATTTATCCCATCATAGTTGAGATGGCTGAGGGTGGAAAAAAGCGTTTGACTTTATACTGAATGGCTTCAGACATGGTCTTCAAAGGCCTTTCAGGCTTCGGGGAAAGGTATTTGCCCATCTCTATAATATCCAGTACAACACTGTCTACCTCTCAATCTAGAATGCCAGCCATGGAAAAGTGGGAGAGGTACACAGCCGTGCTGTCCAACAGAAACGGGTTGTGAGCCACATCTGTAATTTGAAATGTCCTAGCAGCCACAGTAAAAAGGTAAAAGAAAACGGTGAAAACTAGTTATGTTTTACTCAACCCAGTACACCCAAAACATTATTTCAACATGTAATCAATATAGAAAAGAATGAGATATTTTCCATTCCTTCATGCTGTCTTTGAAATCGGGTGTGTATTTTGCACTTAGCACATGTCTCATTCAGATGATAAATTCTCATCAGAAGTACTCCTGTTTAGCTTTCCTAAAGTTCATTAATGGAGAAAGAGATTCATACACCCAAGTTGTCCCGGTTATATTGAACAGTTTCCCAATAACTGAGGTGCATATCAGTTTTTTTTTAAATTTTTTTATTTATTTATGATAGGCACACAGTGAGAGAGAGAGGCAGAGACATAAGCAGAGGGAGAAGCAGGCTCCATGCACCGAGACCCCGACGTGGGATTCGATCCCGGGTCTCCAGGATCGCGCCCTGGGCCAAAGGCAGGCGCTAAACCGCTGTGCCACCCAGGGATCCCTGCATATCAGTTTTTAAGTAAAAATGAATAAACTCCATTTCTCAGTCACCCAAACCATGTTTTAAGTGCTCAGTAGCCACATGTGATGTGTGGCCACAGTACTAGACAGCACAGACCTAGAACACTCCCATCATCACAGGAAATTCTACAGACGTAGCTCTAGGGTCAGACAGTCCTCCTGACATTGGGGCAACCTTGGGGAAGTCACTCAGCAAATGGTATCTACCTCACAGGGTAATTGTAGGAATAGTGTATGTACATGCATTCTCCCCCCTGCCTCTCTCTCTCTCTCTCTCTCTCTCTCTCTCTCTCTCTCACTCACTCATACATGCACATGTCAGCATGCTGCAGCCCTCCAGAGAAGCCTGGCATATGGGGAGCTCGAACATAAGTCTTGTTGCCTTTGCCCTTGGCCCCAGGCAGTACCCAGACAACTCTAGTCTGGGCACCTCTCCTATGCCCATGCCTTTGCTCACAGAGTGCCCTTGTCTTTTTCTGCCACTTTCACACCATCTCTGATTTGGTCTGGTCTAACATTTCTGCCCTGTGCTTCCCTGCCTCAAATTCCTTCTGCCCTCATGCCAATGGGGATCATGCCAGAGATCATATCTGAGAAAGCAAGACCCAATTTTGTTTGCCTATGTCTCTTTTGGGGAGTGCTGGTTGTGTTTATATGTGTATATGAGTTTATATATGTATATGGACACTCTTGGGTGTCATGACTAATTTGGGGGAAGGGTTGTTTTTAAATTATGACTTTTGAAGGGAGTCCTAAATGTTGCTAGTGAGGCTTCTGTCTCTGGTAGCATCCAAGCAGAAAGATTAAGACTCCCTTGAGAACTGATTGCTGCTGCCCTCGGGGTGTGTCAACTCAACATCATACTTCCAGGCTGGAAGACCCTCGAAGGCAAGAATTCCAGGAAATGTATGCTACATCTTGGCATTGCCATCCATTACCAGAAGCAGAAGTAGAAAAGACAATCTCATCACCTTAGCTGAGTTTCATACATTTCTGGATAATGATGAAGAGACTTGTATCCATTGGGGTGGGGAACCAGGGAGGGCTAATCCAGGGTGTGGTTGGCCTGTGGTGCTTTTTGAAGAGGTCAATAAAAATGAGTAGAAATACCACTATGTGTCTTTTCTTTTGGGGTTTGAAGGGGAAGATGCTTGGGATTTTGCTTAGGTCTGGGGAAGGAAAGGGCTGAGGATAGTACTGGCTCTGAAGGAGGAGGAGACCAAGGGTGGGGACTCCTGGGTCCTAGGAGAGGAAAGATGGGTGGTGAGGGTCCCTAGGGTAAAGAACCCCTTGAGCTGGAATCCAGAGACTCTGCGAGTATGTATGCTGGGGGGGGGGGGCAGAGGGGAGGGTGGTGCAGGTGGAAACAAGACATTTAGACCTTAGAGAGCTTACAACAGTAAAGCATCCCAGCTCTGGAAGCAGCCTGGCCCATTAATGTCTCTCTGTAGCTGTGTTCTTGGAGAGGCCCTTCTGACTCTAGACCTCGCCACATGATTTGCCTGGAACAGCAAACACAATAGAAGTAGATGCTTGAGGGATGCCTGGGTGGCTTAGCGGTTGAGCATCTACCTTCGGCTCAGGGTGTGATCCCAGGTCCAGGAATCAAGTATCAAGTCCCACATTGAGCTCCCTGTGAGGAGCCTGCTTCTCTCTCCGCCTGTGTCTCTGCCTCTCTCTCTCTCTCTCTCTCTCTCTCTCTCTCTCTCTCTCTCTCATAAATAAATCTTTAATAGAGAAGTAGATGCTTGGAAAAAGTTCACATATTAGGGCTTCCTCTCACTGCACCCCTGTCACTACGGTCACACCGAGAAGTCCAGGCCAACCTGCTGGGTGAGTAGAGGCATGTGGCCCAGTCAGTCTTAACACCCCAAGCTATAGCCAGCCAACCGTCTGAAACCGAGCTGCCTGGCTGATAGAAGCCAAACCCAACAGAAGAGCCAGTCGGCTGATCCCAGACCAAACAGCAGACTAAATCACGAGTAAAATAAAAGGTGATTGTTCTAAGCGACTACCTTTCAGAAGAAACGTAGTCGCAGAAGAGGTAGCTGCAGAAAGGCAGCAGCCAAAGATAACAGATACAGTCTTATTCCCCGTCTCTGTGCTGGAGTCCTTTCTCCCCCGTCATGACCCAGTGATTAAAATCTGAAGCCCTTTGGGGATCCCTGGGTGGCTCAGCAGTTTAGCGCCTGCCTTCGGCCCAGGGCCTGATCCTGGAGTCCCGAGATCGAGTCCCACGTCAGGCTCCTTGCATGGAGCCTGCTTCTCCCTCTGCCTGTGTCTCTGCCTCTCTCTCTCTCTCTCTCTTTGGGTCTCTCATGAATAAATAAAATCTCTAAAAAAAAAACTGAAGCCCTGCGACTTTGTAGTCACATGAACTCCACTGTAACATCCCTCCTCTGAGCTTCAGATTCTTCTGAAGACAGGGCTGAGAATAACAGTGCCTATCACGGGGAGTTGCTGCGAGGAGAAAATGAGAAGTATGTGCTAAGAGGCTGTGGCACCCATTCATGCTGTTTAAGAAATACGTCCGTGTTGCAGACCAGGATTGCACTTCTTAGCCCCCCGTGGGGTTTGGCAGACCATGCGACTCGCTCCATCCCATGGGTTATGTCAAGTCCCTCTGGGTCTCAGCATTTAATCACCCACGCGAGACTTTCCTGCGCTTTCCCGTACACAGCAATGTTCAAGTTGGTGGCTGCCCTAGGATCCTGATGAGCAGACAGTGCTAGACATGTAGGGTGAAGGAAGAATCAACTATTCGTGAATGGAGACTCGTTCAGCAAATACTGCTCTTCCTCCTCCCACTGGAAGGGGAGTACACTTCCTTGCTCAGTTGATGTTGGCTTTGACCACAGGGTTTACTTTACTCAATGGAATGTTAGCACACCTGACCTCAGAGGGGCTCCTAATGCACTTGGGCTTTGTGCTCCTGTGATCTGCCATCAGAACACTAGCCAGGGAGCCACTGATCCCAGAACTTGTATCCTCCTCCCAAACTGGAGCCAAACCAGCTAATGCAGAGCCAAAAGGAGAACTACCCCAGCCACCCCCAAACCCTCAGAGAGAAGAATGCCTGTTAGGGCTCGGTCTGGGGATGGTTTGTTACACAGCATTACTGCAGCATTAGTCAACTAATACAATTTTTTTTAAAAACTAATACAATTTTGTTGCTTTAGGGGCACCTGGGTGGCTCAGTCGGTTAAGTGTCTGCCTTTGGCTCAGGTTGTGATCCCAGGGTCCTGGGATCAAGCCCCATTTTGGGCTCCCTGCTCAGCGGAGAGTCTGTTCCCTCTGCCCCTCACCTCGCTTATGCCCTCTCTCTCTCTCTCGTTCTCTCTCTCACATGCTTACTCTCTTTCTCTCAAATAAATAAATTTTTTAAAGCTCTGTTGCTTTAAATCACTGAGATTAGGGATTTGCTTGTTACTGTAGCATAATATATTTGATGACAATGTTTAGCACCTTCCAAGTAATGGCCACTTGTTAAGTAGCAGCCTTTATGATGATTACTATTTACAGACATATTATCCCTAAGACCCACATTGTCTTACAGGTACTAGGCACTGCACTAATCCTTTTTTATTTTCTTTCATTTGGCACAACAACCTAATAAGGTTATAACTATTAATATTCAAATTTTGCAGAATTGAAAACAAGCAAAAAGAGGGAGAGGTTAATCAGGAGAAGTGATTGTGGACTCCAGGATCTGCCCTTCCCTAGTGGTTTGACCCAAGGCAAGGGGACCACAATCTGTGCCTCAGTTTGTTCATCTGTAAAATGGGGCTAATAAGATCAACTTCACAGAGTTGTTGAGATTCTGAGAGTTTTTTTTAAGATTTTATTCATTAATTCATTCATTCATTCATGAGAGACAGAGACACAGGCAGAGGGATAAGCAGGCTCCATGCAGGGAGCCCGACGTGGGACTCAATCCCGGATCTCCAGGATCACACCCTGGGCTGAAGGCAGCACTAAACCGCTGAGCTACCCAGGGATCCCCGAGTTGTTGAGATTCTGAAATGAGGTACAGCATGGAGAACACTCTGCACAGGGATGCCTGGGTGGCTCAGTGATTGAGCATCTGCCTTCAGCTCAGGGTGTGATCCCATATCTGGGGATCAGGCTCCCTGTGAGGAGCTTGCCTCTCCCTATATGTCTCTGCCTCTCTCGCTGTGTCTCTCATGAATAAATAAATAAAATCTTAAAAAAAAAAAACATTCTGCATAGCAGCCCAGTGGGGGAGTAATCCTTTAATAAATGGTAAGGTCTTCTCTCTTTTCCATGCAAAGAGGGGGTTCCCAAGGGTTAAGACCCCTGCTTTCTGCACCTTGCCTTCCTGAAATGCATTGTATCACAGGAACTCAGGCTTACTTTGTTAACCTGTTTAATGTATAGGCACAGGGGAAGGTGTAGGGTGAGGACAAATGGAGACCTCAAGCCACATATTCTTCAGTTCTTCACTCCGCTCTGCCAGGGGCCTGGGGGGCTGGAAGGCAGTCTGCTCGGCGGAGGAAGTAGAGATAAGAGGCTGAAGGCACCTGAGCCCCCGCCTTGGCGTAGCAGGCACTCTCGGTAGCACAGCCCCGAGTGGCAAATTTGGGGCTGATGAGACCTGGGAAAGGGGTTTCAGAATGGAATCAGCCCCCAACCCTCCTTCCTCACCACCTGTCCTACCGCCCCCACCCTGCCCCATTCCCCGCGTCGTATCCAGTTCCCAGGAGCCACCGTCTCCCCTAGAACCTGGAAGAATGGCCCTCCAGTTCTGAGGCTCCTGTCCCCCCCTCTAGAGATCCAGGCTCCCCTCACCAGCCTGCACGTTGCCAGCAAAGTAGACACAGTGGGTTTCCTGGCCAACACAGCGGGCTGCCTGGGTCCCAGGGCATGTCTCTTGAAAGGGTGCGATGCAGGCTGGACACTGAAGGCCGTTCTCAGTACGATTGTTCTGGGGAGCTGCAGATGAGGGTGGAGTGTAAGGTGCAAAGGGACGATGAAACCCCTCCCGAACCTTGCAACAACCAGGGGTGGGAGTGGGGTACATGGTTTGCTAATGGACACTGCATTTTCAGGTAAGGAAACTGAGACTCGCATGAAGCAAGTAAGTTGCCGAGTGTTTCAGCGCAGGTCAGAGGAGGGCCAGAGCACATACAGCAGGCTGGAAGCGACTCCTGATGAAGGGCTGAGGTGGCACTCACGGGGCACCGAGCCATGGTTGCAACCATCACTCTGGCAGCAGTGCGTGTTGGACACCATGTAGTCCTTGGGGCCCATCGTGGTGGACACGAATCCCGTGTAGCAGTCGCTGAACTTCATGCAGGCCTTGTAGGTGTTCAGTGAGTGGCGGCCCTCTGAAGGATGGGGGACAAGAAGGGAGGGCTCCGGCAGTGCCTGCTGATCCCACTCCAGGATGGACCCAGGCCTTGGGTAGGGGTGGGGTCTCTCCCAAGCCTGAACTTCCCACACCCCATGATCGCCTAGGGTGGTCTCTTCCAACCCAATCCAAGGGTTTTCCCTCTTAACTCCCCAAAAAGTGCTCTTCCCCACCCCCTCCTCTCCTCCATCCCCAGGATTCATATCTCTCTCCTAAAAGCCTGGGGTAGTCTTTTCAAACCCTACTAGTCCTCTTGCCCACCTGCCAATGCCTGTTCAGTGGGTAGCGCAGCATGCAATCCTCTATCCCACCCTCCTTACACACCCTCTCTGGTCGGGGCGTGGTTTCTTCCTACACTCCAGGTGGCCCTCAGCTCCTGCCACCCCCTTCACACCTGTCCACCTTCCTCCGGTGCCTAATGAATAGTCTCTTTCAGCTCTGAATGAAAAGCCCTGCCCCTGTGGTCTGTCCATTACTCCCCCTCAACCCCCATCTTTTCTCAGGTCAGGTCCCTCCCTTCCACTGAAATCACACCCTGCTCTCCCATCACCTACCTGCCTCCCCATCTCCATCTCTACTTGTCTTTGTGACGGTTTGCTCCATACTTCGGGGTTATCTTTCCTGTCTAGCATAGTCCCTTTTATGTCTCTCCCTCTACCTCAGTGTCACATCTCCACCTCCAGTCAGGAATGGTCCCTTTCAGAGCAGAGGTGAGTGGGGGGATGGGGTAACTGGGTGATG